GTAAATGTGAAATAATTATTTCTATGTTCTAAATAACAATCTCTATTAACGCTGAGGAGATGACAGGGGGAACTTGGTAGGCACTAACTTCAACAGACCAGCTAATACCATAGTTAAGGGTTCCCTTTCTGGCTGTGTAGCTCTGGGTCCCCCGTTCTCTATTCGAATTTTTCTCATCCCTATGCAGGTGAGTGTCACAGTACGGTGGTAGATAACCAATATCAGGCTGGTAAACTGGTGTGTCTCAGTGGGACAAACTGGTTTAAAAAACCCACTGTTGGTCTTTATATAGACGCCCCATTTTTAGTAGTTTGAGGAACCTTCAAACTACTTTCTTTAGTGGTTGGACCACTTTAAACTATTAGAACCCGAGGGAAATAGGCTTCTGCTAACAATGTAAGCTTTGTTAATTCAAGGAGCAGTTGCCTCTGGTAGGGAGAAATCCACCACTGTGATATTGCTTTACATGACTCAGTGTTTGTTGTTTGACCTCCAGCTACCCAAACTTTGGGTTGATAGAGCACCTGCTCCCACAGGTTGGTAGTTGAATCAGTGTGTTAATTCACATTATATATTATTTTAAGTTTTAAACTTTTATTTCAAAATGGTTTTAGATTTTCAAAAGAGATTATCCCAAAGAGTTAATTCCTGTATAGTCTTTATTCAGATTTGTTAAATGTTGACATTAACTCATAGGTGTGTGTACATAGACACACATTATTTTTCTGAAATATTTAAGGTACTTGCATCTAGAATGTTCCTCTACCCCAAAATACTTTACTAGTTTTCATAAAATCAAAATTTTACTATATAATATAGTAACATTTATAAATTTGACTAAGAAAGTATCACTAATTTACTACTATTTAATTTGCAGGCATTCTTCATTTTGCCAAGTGCTCCATTAATTCTTTTTAATTAATTTTTCCATTCTTTAAAAAAGGAATATTGGGTGGTGCAACAGGTTAGGACACAGCCCTGCAAGCTAGCCACAGCCGCTTCAGTGCGAGTTTGATCCCTGGCTCCGGAGGTGATCCACATTGTGTGGCAGACCTCTCCTGATCCACCTGCTGCTCCCCTCAGCAGTGTGCATCATCATTCTGCTTGTTCTGCTGCCTACTCTGTCTCTGGTGAAGCATCTCACCATCCTTGCACCTCTGGCTTGTACCTCAGTTCTATAAGAATAAATAATCATTTTTAAAAAAAAAGGATTATTTATACAGTAAAAATCACCTTTTTGTTGTTGTTGTTGGTATAGCTCCACAATATCTAGAAAATGCTTAAAAAGCTTCTAATAGTCTAAGCTGGTCCAACCACTATGGAAAATAGTTTGACATTTCCTCAAACTAATAAAAATGGAGCTTCCATGTGATCCAGCAATTCCACTCCTAGGAATCTGCACAAAGGACACAGGATACCTGCACCCCATTGTTTATTAAAGCACAATTTACAATAGGTAAGCTATGGAAGCAAACTTAATGCCCCAAACTAGATGAATGGATGAAGAAGATGTGGTATAGTACACAAGGGAATATAGTCAGCAATCAAGAAAGATAAGCTCATGCCATTCACAGCAACATAGATGGAGCTGGAAGGGATTATGCTCAGTGAAATGAGGCAGAAAGAAAAAGAAAAATATGAATGCTTTCACTTATAGGAGTAATGTAGAAAAAATAAATATGCAATCAGGGTGAGGGAGAGGTAACTATAATAAAGTAAAAATCAAAATCATCAGACAACTATAGATCAGAGATGTTCTGTAGGAGAGAAAAGAGAAGGATCAGGACAGGAGTGGGAAGAGCACAAGGGACTATGGTGATGGTGCACAGGGGAATTGGTTGTGGGACTTTCTTGGGGAAATCATACATTGTACAAAAATGAAGAATGATATAATATATTTAAAAAGAAAGAAAACAGTATACAAACTAAAAAGAAAAAGCAGCAGCTCTAATGGTCTAGGTTGAGGACGGTTTCTAATCAGGAGTAGGGCATCATCTCTGAAGTTTGGGGACTCAGGATTTATTCCTGCAAGTTTTATTTATTTTCATTACCCAGTTATCATGGGTGATCATCTTTGCCCTCAAAGTAAAAGCACTGGCCGTTCTTCTAACAGCTTAAGATTTTGTTCTATTGCAGCGTTTACTTAGCAGCTTCCAGCTTCATGCTTTTTCCTCAAGGGCTACTACTCCTTTCCCCCTGGTCTTTACCACTAGGAAAGCATCTGGACTCCTCATCCCCAGTCTTCCTCTGGAACATTGGTGAGGTCTCTGGAGAAGAATCAGTGAGTGGCTATGGATTCCCCTTGTGCCGGAAGCTCCTGGGAATTGGTTTTTGTTTGTTGGATAAGAATTTTAGCTGAATCTTCCCTACCAGCTTGTGTGACATCTGGTGTATCCAGCATTTAAATGCACATTCGTGTCCTGTCTCTCCTTGGAGGAGCCTATATTTTCTTAAAATTCTGAGTTAGCTGGTTGCCCTGCAACCACAACTCTCTGAAGGATACAAAGAAACTGTGATTTTATAGACTAGTTAGGATTTTTGGTAGTTGTTTTAAATATCAAGCCAACTTATTTTTCATGTTCTTCTTTACAAGTGAAGGCGTACATTCACTTAATGTTTTTTGATCAACTGCAAATTTGAATTTTTTGTCTTATTGTACTTTACTGAAATGAAAAAAAAAATTTGGAAAGAAAAACTACTGTTTTCTTATGTATTGGTAATAAAAAAAATCTACTAAAATATTTAAGTGTCATGTACTAACCCAGAAGCTAAGCAGTCATCTAAACAATTAAAACTGTAGCAGGACAGATCTAAGAGTGAGATCTAGTGGTAAAGTAACTGGGTTTGAAATTTGGATTTAATTATACCTTCGATAGACAGGTTCTTTCCTGCAGTTGCTTCTGACCCAAGCTGAAATCATTGACTATCATATCATTTCCTTGAGTCTTGTAAGGAAAACAAAAAAAAAAACTCTGATTGGATATAAACATTCACCTCTGCCAAGCTAAACCATGGACTTACTTGCTAAAGGCTCTTAACCACATTAGGAAATTATAGGAAGCCTTCAAGTATTCTGAAGGGAAACTGATGATTACAAGAAATTATATTCATTATGGAAAAACCCAGCTGCCTGGAACAACAATTACATATAAAATGTCTATATTAAAGTAATGCAAAAGACATTTCTGAATAGGGAGCTGGAACTAACTTGATAATTGACTACTCTGGGCTTTTTCCCTCAAGGCATGACAATGAAGCCACAGTAACTTTTAACTTTGTAGGATACTGTGTCATATCTTAAAGGCAGCTTGTTAGTCATAAGCATATTTTGGATATCTCCTCCTATATTAACTACATTTATGTTTTTAAATTCTTTTAAATCTCAGGCAGGTATCTTCTTACTGTCCTTCATATCACTCTGCAGGCTGGCCCAAGCTGAATTCTGATCTGTACCTTGGCAGACCCTTCTCTCCTTCTTTAGATAAGGCTACAGATCCAGTCTTATTAAAAATGTGTTTTTCAGTAAGTGAAATGAGGTTAATCTATGTTATCCATACATTCCCATCTATGTCTTTTTATTGCATCTGTATTAGCAATGCAATCTTTGGAAAGAGAGCAGACTTTTCTCCTCCTCTGCCAGTTTATAACCTGATGTCAGTACACTATTTCAGGCTTACTTAACTGGTGCCAATCCTTATGTAAGGTTTAGGGTTCCCTAAACCATCAGGTTTTCTGCTGGGAAAAAATTATTCTCTCTTGACTATAAACTGAATAAAGGAGACCCATGACCCTTGTCTATTTCTTCTAACTAAGCAACTAATAAAGAGAAACTCCTTCTTTAGGAATGAATTTCCTAATAGGCCTGAGACATCCGTGCATATAAACATCTGTAGTGGGCCTCTCTGTTGTGTGGTGTGCATGGTTCATGAGACACCAGAGTAAAGAAGACATCCTGTGACTGAGCTCTCTGCAATCTGACTACTGTAAAGGATTTGTCGGCCCTTTAAAACTGAATTCATGAGACCATATTCTAACCCCTCATTTTGCATCCATTTAGAAATAAATACATGGCAGAGATTAAAAGGACTCAGAGTTTGACCTTGTCAGTTTTCTGTACAGGGTTAGGATCAAGTGCAAAGGGGGCTAAGAATTTCCCTTTGATGAGCTACACCTCAGTTACATTCATTTCTTTTTGTTCTCTTTGGTATTAGAGTTGTTTTAATAAAAGTGCTCTTTCCTAGGGATGAGAGCAAAGGTATATGTGTGTTACAAATATCAATAAAGATATATATTTGTAAGTATACAAATAGCTTAAATCCTAGCCTATCACTAGGATAATGATATGTATGTGTTCATTGGAATACTATACAGCAAAGAAAATTAACAAATTAGCACTATGTATATGTACACAGATAAATTTCAAATAATGTAGAGATTTAAGACAGAATTTAGATATCAATATATCATTTAAGTTTTCAATATTAAAATAATATTGTGGATTGTTTTAAAATATGTATGTAGTTAAAGTCTGGAAATATTAATATGAGTTATACATATTAACTTTAGATAGCAGTTCTCATTGTCCATAGGGGAAATGAGATTGTGGGAGTACATTGGTGTTTTCAATTAATTCTGAACAGTTTCATTTTTTAATTTGGTGGTAAATAGGTGTCTTTTTCTATATAAAATTTGCCTATAAAATTATAAAAATCACCATCAATATCATAATTGAAAACCAGTTACTTGTGATTTGTCACTTAGTCCTTAGAAACTGGAAGTATTTTTAACACAGAAATAGGCAAATGCTATGAACCAGCTCCCTCACTTCTACCTCAGGTTAAACATACTGACAAAGCATTGAATGTCTGGCATGTACTCCCCCCGCCAAATTAGGTAGTGCTATATTGCAGCTTAGAAATTAATATGTTTCCTGACCCAAAGAATATTCTGACTTATCTTGAGAAATTGATGGGAACATCATTTTATCTTATCATGTCTAGGGGGAACAAGGACCTCAAGGCTTTCCAGGGATAAAGGGCATGATGGGCCGAGGTCTCCCAGGCCAGAAGGTAAGTACAGCAGAACCTTAGAGAAATGCTTAGGCTTAGGTTATCAACAGATAATTGTGACTTTGGAAGTGTGCTCTCTCTTCTTGCAACTCTCAAAGGGAAAAAAATATCCATCTGAAAGTGAATTGTTAAGTAGTAGTTGATATGGAGTAAATCTAGGCAACATACTATAGAGAAGATAATCCAATACTGCAGGTGTAAAGTTATCTAATAGTTGAACTTCCTGTAGACAGAGAGCTGAACCCATGGTTTCTCCAGGTCGCTTCATCTTGAGAGCTCTGCTTCAGAACCAATGTCTTTTGTTATCTGAGGAATGTCAATAAAATATTCAATTTTCCCCCCTCACAGTATATTTAGATCAACAAGAACCATAAGTTAAAAAGATAACACTTGAGGGCCCTCCCTGGTGGCGCAGCGGGTTAAAGCACTGCACTAAGAAGCTTATGCCACTTCCTCATGAATTCGATCCCCACCTGCCCTGGAGAAAATCCACATGGTGTGGCAGACCTCTCCTGACCCGCCCGCTGCTCCCCTCAGCAGTGTACTTCATCGATCTGCCTGTTCTGCTCCCTACTCTGTTCCAGTGAATCCTGTCACCCTCCACATCTCTGGCCTGTACCCCAGTTCTGTATAAATAAATAAATCTTAAATATATATATATATATATACATATATATATAAAAGATAACAGTTGCAAGTAAACAAAACTTTAAGAGTTTTTTTATTTGACTTTAATGTTCACGTTTTAAATCTATTTGCTTACTCTTTGATGAAGGGAGAGCATGGAGAACGTGGCAGTGTGGGGAAGAAAGGTGATAAAGGAGAAATAGGAGAGCCTGGAACTCCTGGAGCACAGGCAAGAAATGATTTTTGAAGTCTTACGGTAATTTCATGAATTAACTGGTTTCAACCTATAGTGACTTTTACTCTTCTTCCACTAAATAGGGATTACAAGGACCAAAAGGAGACCTGGGACTCACAGTGAGTATCAGTCCTGAGGGTAATTGAGGGGTTTGTGCTGGCCAAATTACTGCATTTTTGTTTCATCTTTAGAAGTCAGAATTCTTCTGATGCAGAATTCTAGTTGCTGTTTGAATAACACTGCTGTGGTACAAGTCAGGTGCTGCCCTAGAAGCCTGAGGTAACTGAATCTCAGTGTGAGGAAGGAATAAGCCCAGACAGCCCTTATCTACCCTTCTGGTGGACATGTGCTAATATTCCTCTCTGACCCCTGGTAATGGTAACAAGGAGATGTTTGAGTAAGTTAAACATTTGTATAGACTTATTATTTTAAGCACCTTTTTAAAATAAGCCAAATGACCAAATGACTTTTTATTTTATGTGCTCCTTTGCATTTCAGAATGAAGACACTTTTTCCTGAATTAGTTCATCTAGGGCATGCTCTGTGCACAATGTCTTCTTCCACAAACAGTGGGAAGCATTTACAAACTTGTCTCTATTCTTCCCACACCACTGTAAACCAAAACACTTAATTCCTTAGGTCAGGGAACTGTAAAACATCTATAATGACATCTCATTCTTCATTTAATTTCTGTTTTGAAGATACTACACTCTCTAGAGTGGAAGAGAAACAATGGACTATTTTTTTTTCTCCCTCTTTTCTGATATTTTCCTGGATTGTAGCTGGGCAAAGCCAGGTGTGAGGCAGGTGGAAGTTCAAGTGGTAAAGGTGAGATCTGAGAGCCAGACCTTTGACACAGAAATGCCTGTGTGTTTTAAGGTCCATCTGCCTTTTTTCTTTGTTCCCCACCACTTATCATACACCTACAGATCCCTACAAGGGGTGAAGCAACTCCCCCAAAAGTAATGGGAGAGAGTTTATGTTAAATGACCAGAGAAATGGTCTGCAGAGATTTGTCGTCTCCCTCCCTATCCAACAGGGACAGGTTTCCTTTATCCATTCATTTGTTCATTCACCTCAGCAACATTCACTGGGTGTTTGCTCGGAGTCAGGCTCTGAGGTAGGCATTGGGAAAATAGTAGAGATAAGTTTCTATACTTATTCCTTAATTAAATCTTATTTCTTACTTTGTTACTTAAATGAGAAATGTCTCTTGACTGAAGGGTTCACAGAACAGTGGAGTGAAAGGCAAAGAAAGGATCTACAGATCTATCCATCTACAGTTTGATATATGCTATCATAGAAGTAGTTATGGTGTTCCAGAGCAGACAAAATAAAGTGTGGTAATGTCTGGGGACATGATGAACTTTTATCTATTAAGTAAGTTTTAACCAAGAGATCAAGAGCTCAGAAATGGAGCTGTCATTCTGCTCACTTTGGCTGCTGAGATTCTAGAAAAAGGGACTTACAGGTAGGGAGGAGTGAAAGTAAAGAGAATTTGCATGAAATGAGAATCAAGTTTGTTGCAGGCACTATGTTTGACTCCTTCATATCAGTACTACTCTTAACCAGCACTGCAGGGTGTCTGGAGAACCATATGTTAGAGGTCCCATTTTGGACCTATAGTCCTTTGCCAGCTATACTTAAGGTGGTGTCCACAGTTTGAAAAAAACAAATATAGTACCACAGTAAAACTGTATGGAGAATGAAAAATACTGGTTTTATATTATAAGCATAGCAATATGTTTCAGAAATGGGGGAGGTGACACACTGGCTAAAAAAAGGATTAGAGGCTATATTCCACACAATCTCAGTTGCTAGCCCTGTTTCAACAGCCAGTTGTACATTGACATTGTTTGAATCTGTGTGAATCATACATTTACTGAAACACTGTAATATTCTCTAATTTGTGTGCTTTGTCCCCTGCCTGGACTCCTCTTCTTCCTCCCCAACACCCCGCCCCAATCTAGTCAGAATCTACTTCCTTGACCTCAGCCTCTTCCCTTTCCTCTGACCTCTGGACTTTCTGGCACACCAACATATTTCCTTGACTCCAACCCAACAGCAAGCATAAAGGTATCTGGTTATTGGTATACTCTTACCACACTGTGAATCCTTGAAAGGGTATAAATTTGGAAGTCTTCACCATTGTTTCCAGATAGCCAGTTCTCATTCAGCAGTTTTTGTGGAAAGAATAAAACTATTCTAAGTCACATAAAAGCAAAGAATAGGAAGAAAGAAAATAACTACTTCTAGTCTCTTGAACCTGTCTTTGTCATAGAAATACACTGAAAAGAATGAAATGCAACTTTTTTGTATAAATTGCTCTTATAAGGAAAACATTCCAATAGAAAAAAAAGAGCAAATTGAAATGTTCACATGAAATTAAATTAGCCTCATTTAATCTAGAGAACAAATAAGTATAATTTAAAAGTCAGATATTTTTGCTTTATCAAAAGCTGAAAATTACATAAAAATAATAACAAATACAGTGTGTCAAAAATAGAGTAAGTTTTCTTACATAGTGTTTCTAGAAGAGTTGGTTTCTACAATTTTCCTGAAAATCAGTTTGGACTGTGAGCATCAAGAGCCAGATCATGGTTGTGCATCTGATTATTTTTTTTGAAGATTTATTTATTTATGCATACAGAACTGGGCTACAGGCTAGAGGTGTGTGGGGGGTGAGAGGATTCACCAGAGACAGAGTGGGGAGCAGAACAGGTAGATATACTGAAATATACTGCTGAGGAGAGCAGCGGGTAGGTCAGGAGAGGTCTGCAATGCCATGTGGGTCAGCTCCCTGACCAGGGAACAAACTTGTGCTGTTAGGCTGAGATAGCTTCACAATGCTGTGCTTTAACCCACTGAACCACCAGGAAGGGCCCCTGTGCAGATTTTAATCAAGTCTTTCAAAATACTTAGTAATATGGAAAAGTTGTTATGATATAGTATTAAGTGAAAAACTATAATCATAGAACTTGTGTATTTTATTTTTTCCACTTGTAAACTAAACATAAATATATAAATACATACAATTCTCCTTTCTAAAGACATACTATTAACATACACACTTTCTTTTCCCAGGCACATTCTAGTTTTCAGGGTTTTTTTTGTTTTGTTTTGTTTTTAAAGATTTTATTTATTTATGGATATGGAACTGGAGTACAGGCCAGAGGTGTAGGGATGGTGAGAGGATTCACCAGAGACAGAGCGGGGAGAAGAACAGGCAGATGGACGAAGTACACTGCTGAAGGGAGCAGCGGGCGGGTCAGGAGAGGTCTGTCACGCCATGTGGATCACCTCAGGGCAGGCAGGAATCGAACTCATACGGAAGTGGCTTTAGATTCTCAGTGCAGTACTTTAACCCACTGCGCCACCAGGGAGGGACTCAGGTTTATTTTTAAAGCATGGCAAGAGTTTATTTTCTTTCTTTTTTTTTTTTTTAAAAAAAGACTGTTGACTTCCTTATTTTATATAAATTTAATTATATCATGTGTCTTCTTTTTAAATAGCGACTTAGAAACGTGGGTTTTTACTTGTTTATAGTAGACAAAAGTAATTAAAGTAAGTTAAAATTAAAATGTCCTGAATTTTCCTTCAATATGTTTCAGCTAAGCCTTGTTACTAGCTATGTTGCCTTTACCCTAGTTGACCTTTACCCCAATTCTTTTATTTTTTTTTTCTTTTAACTATTTTTTGGCAACTCTTAAATTTTATCTTCTCTTCCTTTCCTATTGAGATTTTCCAGACTTCCAGACTTCTGCTCTTTCAACAAATAAGTTAATCATCCCTTTCACCTACCTTTTTTTGGCAAATACAGACCCTGCCTGTTCTGGTCTCACCCAAGTCATTTGTAAACCTGCCAGACAGGGGAGTGTGCAGGCAGCTTTACTTGTCCTACCCAGCTCATCCCAGCCCTTCAGATGGAGAAGATGTGATGTAGGTACGAGAAGGAGCCTTCAGCGACAAGGGAACATTTCATAGAAGATGCAAAGTGACAGTTTTAGGAAACTTACAAAAGTCAGAGGCTGCCACAGAAAAAGAGAAGGGAAAATGGCAGAGATTAATTTCTCTTTGGCCTTAGTCTCTGTCTTGGACGCTCTGCATCCATGGCTTAAAGTGTGTATATGAAGGCCATTGTAGGTAATATTTGCACAAGATGACCATGTGCTAAGAGCTCTGTATGTATGCAGTATTTCCTTTAATCTGCACCATAAGCCAGAGACACAGACATTGTGTCACCTAATGTCCACAGTCACAGTCGATAAATGTTGCAGCTGCAATATGAATGTCAAAAATCTAAGTGGTTACATTTCATCTCTCAAATGCGTTCAGTTATGATCTATGATAGCTAACTTTTAACCACTGTACTATTTATTTTCTTCAGTGGAAGGATAAATCCAATGGTCCAGTGCTGACTGTAATAACAATCAGCTGATTACCGTGACATATACTTTATGACTATGGGGGGGGGGAATCTTACTGTGATCATACAGTTAATATATTTTCCTTTTTTCCTTTAGAGAGAAGAAATTATCAAACTTATTCTTGAATTATGTGGTAAGATTTGACTATTGAGAAAAAAACACTAGCCCCACTCTGTCCCATGCAGGCTGTGATAGTGCCTCCCCAGAAGATGTAAAGCCTATAGTTAGTGGGAAAATTTGAAGCCCATTTGAAAAGTCAATGGAAAACTCAAATGCAGCAATAGGGTGGCCTGTGGGAATCCTGGCTTGTAGTTAAGACTTGTGAGGCCTCTGAGGTTGGGGTCCTGTTCATCAGCACAGCCCCCCAGCATATTCAGTGACACTTACCTGAGTTTGGAGAGCATAACAAATTAAATATGACTGCAGGGGGAGGAAATAATATTCTAATCCAGCCTTGCTGGTGATTATTATGCTTGTTTTTTCCTGAAACAAGAAGTCTCTCTGAATTAAGTTCTGAGCACTATTTCTTGAACTACATTCTACTTCAAACGTAAAGGATATAGTTCAGGAGGTTATCTTACTTCCCAGCTATTAACATATCTACTTTAGATTGAAAATAGATTACCAGGGAGAAGAAGTTAGAGATTAACTAAAAGACAAGAAATTAGTGAAATAATGAAAATGGTAGAATGAACAGGAACAGGAATACAATTGTCCTTCTATACACAGAGCATCAGAAATGGCTTAGTCCCACCCCTCCCCCTTAAGAATTAATCTAGCACTTTCTAAGATAACAGCTCAATTAAAATGTACCTTCTGATTTCCAGAAACCCTACACAAATAGCTCACGATTTCCTAGAGTTTTTTTCTGTTACAATATGGTTAGGCAAAATGAGGATATGATTAATTAGGTGGAAACCAGATAATTCTTACTACCGCTTCGAATGGTAAACCATAAGTGGAAGTTACTTATTAACCAGTGTTCTGGACTCTTTCCCATTAAAGAGTTTTATAGTGTGTGTGCACAGCTGTTCTGATACAGTAGAAGTCACTTTAGTCAACTTTGTGGATGAGCTGGAGACATAAACAAGTGCAAATAAGAGGCACCTATTCTTACGCATTAAGGCTCTAATCTTTCTACTACTTTGAAATATTACCTTCTTCCCCATTGGCCCTGCCAATGCGTGAATATAAGAATATGAAATATTCTGAAATGTTAGCCTCCAGATTCAGGTTAAATATGAATGGTGGAATGAAAAAAAAACTAAAAATTCGGATAGTGATGATCTCAGGGAGAGAGAGAAGACTATAATTAAGAGGGCACACAAAGGCACACAAAGGCTGGCTCTAATATTTTCATTTTTAATGAAGGAATTGGCACAGAGGTGTTTATTATTTTATCCTCTATAATATTTTGAACTGTGTGGGTGTCTTGACAATATATTATATTTTAAGAGGAACCAAGTATAGAAAACAGGAGGCAGACAGTTGTGAACTGGGTTTACAGTCATTAAAAAGGAAGGTCACCAGCAAGGCCTTGCCTCTATATCTTCCTCTCCCCTCCCCCCCCATTGGGCTCTAGTTGGTGATATTTTGACTGACATTTCTGCAATGTTTCTACCTCAACTTTCATCTTCTCAGGTTGTGGGCCCAAATGCAAAGAGGCACCTCTAGAGCTGGTGTTTGTGATTGACAGTTCAGAAAGTGTGGGGCCAGAGAACTTCCAGATCATCAAAACTTTTGTGAAGACTCTGACTGATCAGGTTGCTCTGGATCTTGCCACAACCCGCATTGGCATAATCAACTACAGTCATAAGGTGGACAAAGTAGCTCATTTGACACAGTTTTCCAGCAAGGATGACTTCAAACTGGCTGTGGACAATATGCAGTATCTAGGGGAAGGCACCTATACAGCTACTGCTCTCCATGAAGCCAACCACATGTTTGAGGCTGCAAGGCCAGGTGTAAAGAAGGTGGCCCTTGTCATCACTGATGGGCAGATGGATACACGTGATGAAAACAACCTGACCCATGTGGTAAAGATCGCCAGTGACAACAAGGTGGAAATATTTGTGATTGGGGTGGTGAAGAAGAATGACCCCAATTTTGAAATGTTCCACAAAGAAATGAATCTAATTGCTACTGATCCAGATAGTGAGCATGTTTATCAATTTGATGACTTTATCACCCTGCAAGGTAAGACTCAGCAATGGGAGAAGAATTTACATTATTGTTCCAAGCATCATTGGATAATTCTGACCAAAAATAGAAAGTAGGATACTATGGTAACAAAAAAATCTAAGGTAGTCTCATCTAGCTTACAAAATACAATCTCTTATCTTTATTTATTTGTAGTAAACATTATGTAGATTGAAGTTGTTTAACTGGAGTCTATTTTCAAAGGATGTGGATAGAAAGAAAGAACCTGGGAGAACTGCTAAGATTAATTACTATCCAAAAAGTTAACTCACTCAATTAAGCAATAAAACCATCCAGCACCAAAGCAGAAAATCACCATAGACTCAGGGAATCATGAACATGATGAATGAAAAATGTCATAGACATCTATAGACATGAGAAACACAATTGTGGCAATGATTCATTTCCATTCTTATGAAAGCAGATGATGTTCTAGTCTGTTTTTATAAGAGCAGATAGTGAAGGTGAATAGACAGTCTGACACCTGAGCTGATGTTTCCTAATGAGACATTCCAAGACAGACTGATCCAGCTATGTATGTTCAGTGTTGCTTTACAATGCAATAAATTCCAGTTATTGGAAACTGACAAACTCATCTGGCTGGGTTCACAACTGGCCAGCTTGTAAAGTAAGGAAAATTCATGCTTAATGTGGTTGCAGATTTCAGTTTGGCTCCATTGTGGGGCCTGAGGAAGCCTGGCACAGGCCCTGCCTGCCTCACAGCACTCTTGGTACACCTGGGCTATCAGCACTGCTGACCCTAAAGACAGGGTACCATGCTTAGAACCTTACAACTTCCTATTTTGCCTTTCTTCAGTTTTCCAACCTGGGGCCCCATTTTCTTATTACCACTGCTGGGTGATTGGTGAGTGATTGATGATAAATTCAATCTCACTAGGCTGTAAATGTGTTAGAATGGCCAGGATAACACAATTAAGAGAAAATTTGTATTTGTATAATTGAAAAACTTTATCTTTTTAGCCAAAGGAATTACTACTGGTTGCAGCCCGTGAGGGCCATGTTTTAGAATTGGCTGGGCTCTTGTTATCCCTAACACTAGAGGTAACTGCTGACTCAACTTATGGGTAAGAATAACCCTTAAATTAGAATAAAGTAGAATAGGTTGCAGTTATCTAACTAACTCTGTTAAACAATTACACGATTGTATTTGGGTCAACAACTATTATCAGATAAAATTATTTTAGGTCGCCTCTTACAGATAACATAAAAATATTTTAAAACTTAGTTCACTAAGCAGTTGATTTCAAGTGATGGGAAGTTGTTTATTCTAGTGAGAGTGCAAAAGATCTCTTTAAATATGTTTTAAGTAGTGATTCATTATTCATACTGTCTCCCTTTTCAAAAGACACCCTGAATCAAAAGTTGTTTAAAAAAACTTGTGAGGATTTTGATTCCTACCTCGTTCAAATTTTGGGTTCACCACCACTTCAACCTGGACTTGGGATGTCAGGGGAAGAACTCGGGGAATCCACTCCAGAGCCCCAGGGAGAAAATTCTGAATCTGTAAGTAAATTAATTGTCTTACTTAATTTGTGAGTTTAAAATTGTATATTCTGCCTACATTAAAGACCATGTTATCTGGTAGTGTTAGATGAGATATATATTTTTTTACATGCTTAAATTTAAATACTACTACTTTCTCTCCAACATCTAGCTCTGAAATAGACTTAGCATGTATGAAAATGAATATGAGATTTTAAAATATATCCATAATTTATAAGTAGTTACTAAATATTATAAAAATATCTTATTAGACCCAGAAAAATTAATCATAGAAACTTGAGCAAATTAAAGTACACTATTTGAATCACCCATTTCTCATGCTTTGTATATCTTTGCATGCCAGACCATAACTCTCATTCATCTGTGCTTCTGTAACCCACTTTGCATACTCTCAAGTTTCTTCAATGTCACACATGCTCAACCTGCCACTCTCCCATGCTTCAAGCCATGCTCTTGTTCATTTAGCATCTAATTCTACTGCCAAGAGTGGGGCCCAAGCAGAAGCATATCCATGTATGTGTATGCCAGGTAGACACTGTTTCAGAGTTCTCTGACTATGTGTGCATGAAAGAACTACCTCCAGAGTGTACTGAGACACATGCAGCTGTCCTCATTTTGGGCACAGACTCAATCAGATCAAAAGCTACTATTACGTTCTTTTAGCTGAAAATTGTAGGGCTTCCTATAGTCACTGGTAATGTAATAGTCTCTTCTCCACCAAGTTACAACTGAGGCATATGGACAGCCTCCAGCAAGCAGACACACAGCAGTCAAACCCCTGTCCTATGAGCTCAGAGAAGTCCTGGCACTGTCATTTTATGAAGACTTCATGGACACAAAAGATTCATTATGAGTCTGTGTAACAATATTCACACAGGACTTGGCTGTCTAATTGGATTAATGCCCTGAGAAACTTTCAGATCTGCAGTTGGACCAAGGAACAGTCAGGAATCTAATGAGTTCTATAGTCTGCAGGCATAGACTGAGATGCTTATGCTCTATTCAAAAAAAGACAGAAAATTGTATATCTCTACCTTTTTAAAGGCTTCTTGAACAAGAGCAAACTCAGGTATCACCCAGCAAGTGGTGCTTAAACTGAGCTCTTCTCATAATCGGTGAATTCCAGCAGTATGTATAGATCTTTACTGCTGTGCTAGATGGTGACCCTTGCTTGAGACACTGCTCTTGCTCAAGAGACATCACAGTCTGTCAGGGAAATAGGTAAGTACAAGAAGCAATAAGATCTTTAGCAGAACTATGAAAAAGCTGCTCCACTTAATTTCAGAGGAAACTAATGTAAGATCTTAAAGGGTTCTAGCAGTGTGCTGAGTTTTCAGAATTAGGAGTGTTTAAGGGAAGAGAAGAGGGAAGGGTATTTCTAGAAGAGGGAATATGTGAACAAAGGGAGATTCCAAAGTGACATGGCATTTCAAGAAACTAGAATAAATTCAGTCTAATTGGAGCCTAAGGTGTGTGTGGTAGAATAATGGGTGTTAAAAGTGGATAACTGATTTGAGGATTAATTATAAACAATTTCAATGTCAAGCTCAAGAGCTTGAACCCCATCCATAAGCCATGCAGTCAGGAGAAAGCAGAGGAATTTTTAAAGCAAATGGGGTCACACAGTCATATTTGGTTCATAGAAGCAATAACATTGGTTGTGGTGTGAAAGGTAAATAGGAGGTGGAGGAGGCTGGATGCTGGGATATGAAGAGCTATCAATAGTCCAGGAAGCAAAAATGATGCCCTACCCTCTGACAGCAGTCATTTGGGTAAAAAGGACCATAGGTAGGGAGGTTATTTCTGTGGCAGAATGAGTAGGATTCAGTGGTTGAATGAGTAGGATTCAGTGGCTATGTAGAGGGAGGGGATTTGAGGTGACAGTTGGATTTCTAATTGGTGGTGGAATGAACTTCAGCACAGCAGTCTACTGAGACAGAAAATACAGGAGGCAGGGTGGGGTTTTTGAAGGAAAGAAACAAGTTTAGTTTGAACCAGTTGAGTGGAGGTGTATAAAGGACTTCCAAGTTATGAACATAAGCAAGACCATAATGTGGAATAAGACTACAATGGTACTGAGAGGTTGGTGAAGCTAATAAGTTATAACAAATGAATGTTCTAGAAACTGAGAAGGGGCAGGTATGAGAAGAGTCCATCCAAATGGTTTCAATGTGTAGATGACCAAAAATGACAAAGATGAAGCTGAGCATCAGCAATGCCTCCTAGCGTGAAGCCTTGAGAGACAGTGGAAAGCTTGCAATAAACTGGAGCTTGTTGGACAGTCCCTCTTGTCATTCTATACCTTCTCGCTTGGTCTTTCTTTGTAGAAACTCTAAGGCCAGACTGAATTTTGAAATGACAAATGTTTCTAATAGATATTTAGTCTAAATAAAATACATGTATTCTCATTCATAACTGACTATATAATGTACAGACACACATAAATACCAAAACATGTTTATATAACATCTGCTCTTGCATGCATGCCCACCTTTATTAATAAGTAAAATAAACAGTATCCACACATTTAAAATCAAGTGTATGTCAAAACTTTTTGATTCTCAGATTGTTTACCTACTAATCTTAAGAAATACTGCAAAACAAATAAGTGAGGACCTCAGAAATCCTACTTTTTTTCTCTGTTGTCTCATCTATCACTCCACAAGACACCCAACTCTATCCTTCCTTTTTTCTATCAAAACCTGTTCTTAGGGAAAATTGTGGTATTGGCTATTGACTATTTTTACAGAGGATTCACCAGAGAGTGGGGAGCAGAAAAGTCCAATTGATGAAGTACACTGCTGAGGGGAGCAGTTGGCAGATCAGGAGAGGTCTGCTGCACTATGTGGGTCACCTCTAGGGCAGGGATCGAACTCACACTGAAGTGGGTGCAGTTTGCTTGCCGTGCTGAGCTTTAGCCCGCTGTGCCACCAGGGAGGGCCAGTTATTGACATTTTTTATGTGAGATATTAGTCAATAGGTTTCTACTTCCAAGAAAGCATTAATATCTTGAGCACTTTATCAAATCTTTTAATAAACTTGATATACACTAAACATAAAGGAATAGGTGTGTTGGGAATTATGTAAAGCAAATAGATTTCTTTTGTTGAATTCTTAATACTTAGGCCATGTTTTTTCAGACCAGTAGTGGGAAGCTAAACATGTAAATGCATTCTACTCTGTCTCTCTCCTGCAATTTCTGGATAATCTATACTTCTAGAATTTATTACATTTTCTATCATTAATTAGTATCAATGTATCTTAGCTCTCTAAATGAATTTAAATTCCTGGAGGACATTATCTGTGACTAATTAAATTTTGTGTGCCACTTGTGATATAAATTGTGTGCTATTCTACACAATAGCTGTTCAGTTAATAAAGCTTACCAGATAAATGCAAAACCATCTGAGGACTAAAAAGGACACAAAGTATTTTTCAGTGAAAGATATCAATGATGCTGTCATAAAAAAAGATTATTTCATTAAAAAGTCCTTTTATTGCTCTAATGATGCTGGTACTTCATGTTCTTTTCATTCTTTCAAGGTTTGGAAAGTTGGATAAGATTTCCAGGATGTAAGTGGGAATGGCGTTAATAAAACTAAGCAAACATCATTTAATCAGACCAACTGATTATAGCCAATAATGGTCCATTAAGCTTACTTATTTTTTTTTTTTTTTAAAGATTTTATTTTATTTGTGCATACAGAACTGGGATACAGGCCAGAGATGTGGAGGGTGAGAGAATTCACCAGAGACAGAGCGGGAAGCAGAACAGGCAGATCAACGAAATACACTGCTGAGGGGAGCAGCGGGCGGGTCAGGAGAGGTCTGCCACGCCATGTGGTCACCTCCGGGGCAGGCGGGAATCGAACTCATGAGGAAGCGGCTTTAGATTCTCAGTGCTGTGCTTTAACCCGCTGCGCCACCAGGGAGGGCCAAGCTTACTTATTTTTTGCAGGAAGTCACTTGTTGTCATTCTAAGTATATTAATAGCTAAATTAATATCAGCATAAAGGGTGTTCATTCACTGGAGCAGCAATATTCTAGAAAAGAAAGAAACCTATCTACCTTTCAATGAAGCCCCCTTTTTTTGTATCATGAAAAATTGCTCCCTGATTGCAATAACTTAGGTAACCAGCTGCCCCTCTATAGAAAGGCTGTAGGATTCCTTGCAGAGGGTACTCCACGGGGTGAGGTGATGGAGACAAACACACTAGTTTGGAAAGAGTCCCTTGGGTAGCTACTGCTGTAGGTAGAGCAACATAGTAGAGGAAGAGGAGAGTTGTGGCTCTCCCCCGTCCCTCTGATGGTGTCCTGCTGTATGTAGCTTAATAGAGCCTTCTACCCTTGAAGGAACTATTATTCTGTACCATTACAAACTACAAAAACTAACAACAGTGAGCCACCTTAGATGGCTGTCCTGCCCTCTCTCTGCCCATTCTTTTAATGAGATCCTGTTCCCAATGTTCATGCTTCATTTCTCCTCTCCCATGGTTATCCCACAAGCTGCTTAAAGATCTCCCTTTCTATTTTCTTTTTTAAAAAAATATTTATATTTATTTATGTATAAAAGAACTGGAGTTTGGGCCAGAGTTGCAGAAAGGGGGAGGTGACAGGATTCACCAGAGACAGAGTGGGGAGCAGAACAGGCAGATCTACTGAAATGCACTGTTGAGTGGAGCAGTGGGAGGGATAAGAGAGGTCTGCTGAGCCATGTGGGTTAGCTCCCTGGCTGGGGATTGAACTCATGCCACAGTGGCTGGTAATAATGTGATAGCACTGAGACTTTAACAGCTCTGCCACCAGGGAGGTCCCTCCCTTTCCATTTTCACACTTACCATCTCTGCCTTTTCTTATTCTCCTTACCCACAACCCCTACGCATTCTCCTCCAACTTGAGATACATCTAAATGTCCTCCTGAAACAGGAATTCCAATGCCAATTTTTTGGTAAAGATTTATTTATGCATACAGAACTGGGGTACAGGCCAGAGGTGCAGAG